CTGTTCTGGTTGTTGCCAAATATTTGGGTCCCTCTGTATTTGTCTGTCGCCTTCACAAATATTGGATATCGACAGTGCATGGACAACAAGCACTGGCAAGACAAAGTATGTCTGTACATATTTTTATCAAAACTATTTTGTGCAGATAATATGGACACTTTATATACCCGTGAAGGCTTAAATTATGTTCCAGATTCATTCTTCGTGATTCGCGTATCTCACTAGCCTTGACGTTGGTTAAACGTACCAAAAATATTTAAATTGAGCTACACAGCTCAATATCTATATTTTACATCATGTACCATTTGTGGTATCAAACATTTTTATACAAATCAGAATTACAACAGCCAGCATTTACACAGTGTCACCTCTTAGAAAAAACTATCTAAAACAACATCAAAATTTCTTTGGAGCCTTCGGGGCAAAGAACACTAAAATTTATTTAAATCCATTCAGTAGTTTCCAAAAAGAAACATTCAGATAGACAGAGAAATATTTTCTTTATGCATTCATTTCATGCAAAGAAGACATCGAAACAATATTCATAAAAATTTGTGAGTTTTAAGTACATCATTAATTTATGTTGGTTGGGAAGCCTGAGGGGAAGAGACCACTGGGGAGACCTAGACGTAGATGGGAGGATAATCTCAGGCGGGATCTATGGGAGATAGGAGTTGAAGGAGACTGGATTTCGTTGGCCCAGGACAGGGTCCGGTGGAGGGCTTTGGTTAATTCGGTGATGAACCTTCGAGTTCCGTAAGCCATCTAGTTAGTTATTAATTTATGTTCATTCTATTGATAATGAAAACAATCTTTATTTTCAGATGATCTGTCGGGCAGTTTCGATGCTCTTTGTACTTGGAATGGTAGTAAGTGTGGCAGGAGTCTATCAGTGGTATAATGTATTTTTTGGAGTGTATGAGATCCTACGCTATGTTCTGATACTATGAGAAAGGAAAACATAATGCGTCGCCACATGCCTATAAACCTTCGCTTATGATTCAAGTTTTATAATTTTTAAATGCTGAAAAAATAACGTAGACTAGAATGACAGCGTAGGAATAAATTTGACAATAACTTCATTGATACAGCCACTTTTGCACATGCCACAAATAGCCAGTGTATCACGTAATTATAAGATCACATGATACAACTCTTTTGAATAATGTGAAAGTAAACATTTATAATTAAATTAATTTTATGCAGTTATATATTATTTAAAAATGCTGAATTAAACATGAATGTATGCTATATACTTTTATGTAATATAAACAATATGTAGTTTCGAAAGTGATACCTACCCATCCCACTGTATAATCCTTGGTATTTGGTCTTATCAGTCAAAATAAAAAGTTGTAAATTACAAAACATTGTCTTTCTTCTGAAAATCTCAGCATGAAAAGTGTGAATCTCAATCATCTAAACAGCAGTTAAAAATATTACCTAAAACTTTTCTGTTCTTTCAAAATGTCCTACAACTAAATCTCTGGCATTACAAAAAAATTATTTTTGATGCAATAAGCAAAAGACTTTTTTTGTAGCTGCAAAGGGGCAATACAGTTTTCTCTGTGAAACTTGGCTGCTAGCAGGACCACTGTCCCAGGTAATATATGAGTAAATATGGAACAGCTGAGAAATGATATCGACAGGGGGGAAAAGTGAGAAAAATGTTAAGTTTCCTCCCTAAGGTGTGCGTATTTATGGAAGTGACTTGTTGAGACGTTATTCATTATTTACTTTAAATTAATATATTTACTAATGTTAGATCTACAAAACTTAACACGCAACAGCAACATTTATGTTTTACACATTCAAGCTGTAAATTTAATTTACACTAAGGGTATTTACACATATCAGTCTTTGATCTCAAAATAATATGTAATAATTAATGACTATTACTGATACACGTAAAACTAGGACATTGTTCATTAAATGGAGTGATAAATTGCTTAAAACATTTATCATATATCATGGGCCTGGCACAAATTTTGAGTCAACAACACAACCGACAATTTTAAATCAAATAAGATAATTAAGAACTTGATTGGAAGAACAAAATA